GAAACCTCTTAAAAATTCTGAAAAAATTTCTGTCTGACTGAGGTGGACTAAAAGCATGTGTCCAGTTCACTGAAAAATTTGGTCTTAAATGCATATTCTGTAGTTATAGTACATGTAATTATAGCTGGAGAATGAAGATGTGATCAAAAGACTGAGAGAAATTTAATTCAGCAGGTCTTGCAGAACTCACAGGTTAAACTATTGGAAGATGGCCAAAGAAACAATATTGAAATGAGGAAGGAGTGAAACTGACTTTATACCAATACCATGAGCAAGAAAAATCCTTTGGAGTGAGACCCACACAGGTGGTGTCATTACAGTTGTACTAAACCACGTACATTGTGAGGGATTTCATATGCTGCAGTCTGATTTTCATGATAAATGCACAACTTTGACTATATTCCAGTTGAGCATCATTCATCAGTTCCAGGAACTTCAAAGATTGACTCTGCTGTTTCTCAGAGGTGTGCTGTTTCTCAGTATAATGCTGCTGAAACAGGAATGGTTTGGGTTCTCTCACTTTCAGAGAAGGAGAAATAGGAATGTGCTTAGAGGAATGCTGAATAGCTAAAAACTACATACAAATGCTTGTCCAGATTTGTAGTTGTTTTCAAGCAAATTCAGGAAAATTAAGTTCTTGGCAGATCTATGTGACCATCACTTCTATAGTTTTCAGTTACATGTATGGGGGATCAATAAAAGTGAAAGTCAACATCATGAAATGTAATAATAGAATAGGTAAAAGGCCTTGCAGATCTCCAAATTCTCACCAGTACTCTAACTCCAGTACATTTTTGATAGTGCTTAAAATTTAACATTCTATCTATGTACAACAAAGTCCAGACACATAATTATCATGCTATTCTGAATTATCATTTTGAGACGAGCTGTACAGGGTTTTATGGCATGTTACAGTTCATCCGGGCAAACACAGGCATCACATCACTACATACAGTGACCGCCACCCCACTCTGAACAGTACCATTGGCTAGCAACAGTATGGTTGTGACCTCACATGGAAAGCTGTCAGCAAAATGACTTTGCTTCTCTTCTTTTTAATAAGATCTCTGGTGTTTATTATAAAAGAGTACAGTTGGTATTATTTTCTGAACTAGAGAGTACATGTGTGGTTCAGAATTAATGATTCTTAGCTGACATAAACATGATCTCCTCTCAGGGAAAATTGCTGTAATGGGACATAACAGAGGAATTTACCAAACTGTCATGCATTCACAGGCCCAAACAGGAATTTCTTAAAGACTGACTTGACCGAAAAATAGTAACATGTCAATAGTCAAACTTTCCTCAATAAGACATTTGTTATCTACAGAAGTTTTATTCAGGACTAGGTGAAAATTTCTAATTCACACAATGCCAGCATCAAACTTGCATCCCTGAGTTTTCGAGGAGGCATGGTGGATGGCTTAAATTCTTCTCCCACATGTGACTAAGACTGCTGTGTCAAAGGTACGTCCTTCAGCATCTAACATTTAATGTTATTCATGTCCAGTGAATACTTGTTTACAAAACCCATTAAAACATCTTTCATGGGAAAAGAGAACAAACAAAGAAAAAGGGGTGAATTGATACTTCTGAGAAAGCAGAATTCAAACTCCTGTTTTAAATCAGGCAATACATGGTTTTCTGCAGTGCAGGCACATACCCTTAACGCAAATGTAACAACCACCACATGCAGAGGTTTTTTCTTCTCAGACTACAACACAAAGCCTAGCCTTTGCCCTAATACAGATCAAAAGCTCTGAAGATTAGATCTCAGAAAGTTTTGTTGCATGGGAAAACTATTTCCATTTGCTTATTCTTCTTTTATTCAGCACCTGAATCACAGCAGCAAATTAAGCAACTATGGCAAGCTGTTGTTTACCAAGACACAGTAATGAGCGGGAAGAGTCTGCTCTGTGGGGATGGTGTCTTCCTGACATTACTTTGATTCTTGAAATGACAGTTAAAAAAAAAAAAGAAAATAATACAGTTCAGTTTAACTGCCCTTCCAAAGCAGGTACATTTTGTTATGTTCTAAGAAATACAGCAACAATGAATAACTGTTGATCTGAAAAGAAATTTGTTCAGGTTTCACTCTAGGTCACCTAGGCTCTCTACCAGAACTGTTCTATGTAGTCTTCTGGCCAGAAAGAAATGAGCTGCATTAATTAAAGATAATTAAAGAACATCAGGGTCTTCATGCCAGCTCTGTGGGGGAAGGCTGAAGTTCAGGGTCTCTATGAACAGCTTGTCATTGATGCTGTTTCTAAATCTTTCAGTCTTGTCCTTAGACTATGACTAAAATAGAGAAGACCATGTCTGATTCTTCTTTGTTGGGTGTTCATTTAGTTCTACTTAGTTGGGTGTGCATTTTACAGTGTTTGGAAAACAACCCGTGCCACCATGCTGGGCAGCTCCATCCTTAGTTCCCAGTGGGATTTATCCAGTCTAGTGGCTGCATCATCTCTTGGTTAGTGACAACTAGAGACCCTACTTCTAGCAAAAGTTCTGGTATTATTCTTACAGCCCTGCTCACAGTGTTAATTTGAAATGCACAGGATAAATATTTCTAACCTTCAGTTTTAAAAAGAGGTTGAAAAAAATGCTTTGTGTCTATAACTGAATGGAAACCAGGAAAAAAATTGAATAAATAACAAACAAGCAAACAAATAAAATAATTCCTCCAATAATTACTTAAGCCATAAAATGTATTTTTTAAAACATAATTTGTCATTTTGTATGTTACCAGCCTTTGTCAGGACTTCTTAAAATTTTAGCTAACAAAGCTCGTATTGTTTTTATTTAATCAGAACATTTGCTGGTGTAATTGGCTGAAAATGGTGCCTTTTGATATTGAGATTGTATATTGGCATGTTTCTTTTAAAGGGATACACAGTTTTGCACCATTAGAGGGTCTTGGCCTGATCTTGGATTTGTGAGAAAATATCCTCAACTATAGGCTAACAGGAGAAAAACTGCCAACTGAAAAAAAAAGTACGTTTTTTTGTTACTGGGACATTCCTAATTTCTGAGTGGAAATAATAGTAACACAATGTATAGTTGCATCCAGACTCCGTGTTTTTAGGGAGGATTTTTGTCTTTAGAGAAAGTCAACTCTGAGCTTTTTTCATATCTTCTGTCTCAGGAAAACCAGCCTTATGTATATTCAGAGCTGCTGAAGCACAAGCCATACTGTGTTCTAGGTAGAAAGTGCAAGGGCAAACTATATATCTACAGAATTACGTGAATGTACCTGATGTACCTTACGTGCACTGTGTGGAGTTACTCAGAGCATCCACTGTCAACTACTTTGGAGCTCTAAATCCCACCATTGGGCATCTCCCTTTCCCACTAACTACAACAAAAATTTAAGAATCAAAGTTTGATCTGTTGAATTAAATCTAAGAGAAATGGTTAATACAGACTAACAGAAGTGAAATGTGTATAACCACACACAATTAGATACAGGACATAACAGGCTAAAATTATATAAGCTAAAAAAATATATATGAAGATAGAATATATTCTTTGCTTCCTGTGCTCAACACAAACAGCAGTGCTTTCAGGGGGAAAAAGAAGAAAGTAAAAAGAAAATCCAATAAAAATGTAACATAGTAATGATTTTTTATTTAAGTCCTTGATTCTCTCATGCATGGAAAGGGAGGCTCCCTGGGACACACATAATTTAAAACTTTGATTTTAAAATGCGATCAATATTTCCTATGCATTCATAGTTTTGAGCACCTGGTGCTAGAAGAGGAAAACAGAGAGCCTCCTTCAGCTACTATAAAACTTAGAAATTTATCAACTGGCATTGTCAAAGAGTGACTGAAAGTTTTTGAGGAAAAGCCCTAGCCCAAAAGTTTGAAATACAGGTGATCTAGGGGACAATCAAAGACATTCAGAATCTCTGCAAATCGGTCTTTCCTTCAAGAAAGTGACAGTGAATATGTGGGTCTGACTTCAGAAATTTACATTTTTATGGGAGATTTTCAAGGGCGTGTTTTGAGTGCCTCACAAACAGCTTATACTGTTGTTGAGCTTCTCTTACGCAGTGAAAGGAATTTGTTGGAGCAGTACTCTTTGCAGAATTGGAGTCACAGCAATGTCCTTTTTTTTATTTTTCCACAGGGATTTGTGTCCTCTCAGATATTTCAAATGTATTTACAGACATTCTTGTCAGATGCAGACCATCATGTTACAGAAACCTAGTGAGAAGACTTAAAATTCACGGCTGAATTATGGCCATCATAGAGTTCAGAGACTTGGTTCTTCAGAAAAATAACAAGACAGAGCCTCAGGTACTGCTAGCTGCCACACTACTGAAGTCAGGCAAACCTAACAGAAAACACTAAGTCTGGGAGATGCTTTTGGAGTCCAAATTCATAAAAATTCTGGGTATAAAATCATTGCAGCTCCATGTGAGAACATTTAATTCTGTCATTTTGCATAGTGTTCAACTTTCTAAACCAACTTCAAAATACATCAGATTCTAGGGTTCATGATGTGGTTAGTCATTGTGAAAGGCAAAAAGGAAAGAAAAAAGTGTGGTTACTAGAGGTTATGATTAAATATATATAATATTATATATATGTAATACTTTGGTGGCCCTCAAGCTGTGGCCATGAAGTTACTGTCAAGAACAGGACATCAACATCTCATTTATAGGAAATCAGGACTTAAATGTCTGTTGAGAAAATACTCCCTGACATAAGTTTTTATCTGAGCTTTATCTAAGTAGTTTTGAAAACCAAATAAACCCAATATGGAAAGCATTCATTCTGCTTTTAGTTGCTGAAAGATAAAGAATATAATTTTAATTTCTGTCCTGTACAGAAGCATAAACTGTACACAAGCGTAAGTTAAAGTTTTAACGGGTTGTCTGATGCAGAAGTGCCATGCTATTTCTGAACAGAAGAGAAGATTCTGTCTAAAATTAACCTGGTACTAAATGCTTCAAAACACCAACACTAAAGAAAGCAAGAACAGAGTAGACTTACTCTTTTTTGGGCCCCTCCTCTGGTATCCTTGCAGTTCCACACTTGGAGGTCTGCTGGGCTTTGCTGGGCATGTGGATGTCTTGAACTCTGGGGCCAAGACTCTCTGCCTGGGTCTGGGAGCACCATCTCCTTTCTTTTGTGTTTTATCTGATGACCTTACTGCACCAAGTGCTGTATTGGTCTTACAAAACTTATGAGGAGAATCTGATCCTTCCTGGATGACTTTCTTGGGAACGGTGGTCTTGATAACACTCATTGCCTTTTCTTCAGTCTCTTGTTTCACGTTTCTGAAGGTGCCTTGAAGTGAGGTCTGCGAGTGGCCAGCAGGCTGCAGACCTATTTTAGGAAGATGACTGCCTGCAGCTTCTGCAGCTGAGTTATTTTCACCCATTTCCTTTACTTTCATAAGTGAATGTGTGTTTGTTCTTGGGCCTGACAGCCTACTTTGAAGAGAATCACATTTATTGGAAGTGTATTTATTGTTAGAGACTTCGGTGTTAAAAGAAGGTTTTTTAAATAGAGAAGGCTTGGGCACATTTTCTTGTGCTGCAGGCATTAACTTTTCTTTAATTACACTTACTTTTGAAGATGCTGTTCTTGCCTCACTCTTCTGTGATGCCAAATCTGATTTTGGTTTTGCTCCCAGAGTATTTTTTTCTTTACTAGGAGGAACAGAGCTGGGGAACTTGTTCCTTGCGGGTTTTGGATGTTGAGGCTTTGGGTCTTCTTTTGCTGGGCAACTGGTTTTGATGGGGAATTTAGTGCATTCAGATTTTTCATTGTTTTCTCTGTTTACTGGTTGAAGATAAACACCAAACACTTGTGCCACTGTATTCAGATGTGGTTGCTTCTGTTTATTCTCTGTCTCGTCACAAGCTAATGGCTTGACCACCAAAGAAGGCTTATAAGAGGTTCTGGAGGAGGTACTGGGTCCTTCGGTACACACTGCATTTTCTTGAGCTGCTTTCTCAATGGCTGCTTTCCGTGCCTGTTGTATTCCTTCAGGAACTTCTGTTTTGGGGATTTTTAGAGGTTGACTGTGAGCCAGGTCATCCTCTGCATCTCTGCCACCTGACTCAAATTTCTCCATGAGAAACCTTACCCGATACTTGTGACTCTACAAGCACAAAGAAGAGAAAAAGAAAGAGCAGCAGTGAGAAAGTCCTGTTACAATATTCACACATACTGTACTTTAAAGAGTTTCCTGGTCTGAGGCTTGTAGTACTGCTGATTGGCTGAGGAGGTATAGCACATCTTCCTGTAGGGTTAAGAGAAGCTGAGCATTTTGTTATATGCTTGCTGTGATGATACAATCTTTTAAAATTGTCATGCAGGCACCACCTTTAGAGAGTGACCATGTAGCTCACTTTTGGGCTTTTATAATTTCTGTTTATATCTGGAATTGGGAACTGAACATATGAACTGAACACATAATAAATGTAAGAAAATACTACTTTAAAATAATTATATACCTAAAAATTTAACTGTCTGTGGTGAGAAGTATAAATTGTACTAGGACCTGATTAGGCAGATGAGAGTTTTCCTGCCAAGTCTTTAGAGAACTGCAAGTTCCTTTGTGAAAACAGAAATTCTTCTGGTTGGGGTATATCTGTGTAAGTTTTTCTTTCCGTTCTCAGCAGTGTTCTTCCCTACTACTCCCCCCACCCTTGCTTTGTCCCTCTTTCTCTTCTCCATTTTGTATCTGTGAATGTGTGCATGGAACACAAAAATACGTGAAGCAAAATTGGAAGAAATGACAATCAATAAACGCAGATACTGTCAAAGATACAATTCCAAGTGAATAAAATGCAGCTTCATTCAAAAATAAATATTTGAGTTGATCAGCCCTATACAATAACTTTCTGGACCAGTGTTTAATATGAACTGAAAACAAAAGCTCAATACATTTGAATTCAGTACAAGTAATACTCAACACAGTGAAGGATGGGGACAAGGGGAGTGAGCTGGTCCTGTTGCGCTGGGCTGGGACCACTTTGGACTCCGGGGGCCCTCTGAAACAAAGAGTCCTTTTCCAGCTGACAGTGACAGCAGGGGTGCAGCTATGGCAAATACACTGACATATCCAATTCATGACTTGTTTGAGTAGGATCTGGATTTTGTGTGTGAGTTAAAATGTAAAACTAATGGCATAAAGCAGGAATGTTATAAATAGGAAGGGTTCTGAACAATTTGTTTGATGAATATGCACTTACACACACACACATACACACACACACACACACACACACACACAATTCCACTGCAGAGGTACATATATGTATCACTAATTTTTTAAGATTTCTCACACAATAACTTGCAAAGCACTGATTTTACCCACTTAAACAGAAAGTTAAGCCAATTTCAATGCCAGAGAGAATAATAAAGTCTTTTGTCTTTGATCTCTTTTGCCTTTGCACTAATGCATGTTTTGTTTTTTTTTAAGTTCTGTAACAAAACTAAACCACCAGAGGTACTGTAATTTGACTTCATATCTGAAGTCTTCAGAACGTGTAAGTTGATCAGCTGCTTGGCCAACTTGATATCTCATTTATTTTAAAAGTTATAGCAATAAATTGATTATTTTACTTCTTCTTCTATTTGAGATTTAAGAAAATGTACTGTGCAAATGACAACACTTGTTACGGACAAGAGACATTAACCATGTAAAACTTTGAAAGCTGGGAATGTGGCCTTGAAGAAACTTACTATAATATATACAGTTCCTGAGAAGATTTCTATACCTTTGTATACACAATGCTTTTCCAGCCTCCCACTGCCTTCAGTAGAGACATGCACAGGTGCCAAGATAAACTTGTACAAAATTGTTCCACAACGAGATCTGAGGTGTTAACACCTCAGTGTTAACAAGTGTAATTCTCCATAATTTACAAAATAACTGCTCATTTCTGTACAGCAGTGCAGTGTAATGAGAACACAAAAAGTAGGAAAGTTTCAACTGTATTCCTCCTGTATTTACTATGAATCTTTCAGTCTCAGCTAGAAGCTTGATTGAAAAATATTTGTTTTGCCTGGGCATACATATACTCTCATTATTTACTTTCCTGTCTTGGTGAAACCAAAATATCATTTCACTTCAACTTTCCCTTGAGGCTACTCTTTCTTCAAACAACAACTCTAGATCAGTGAATGGATAGCAGATGTGTGAGCACAGGATTATTAATGATATATATAATAGTTAACTGTACAACGAATCGTGCAATTCTTCAAAATGCATGCAGATCTGATTTATAAAGCAAAAAAAAACCCCCATCTGTTCTCTTCTCAACTATAACTTTTTTCTTTCTATTCCCCAATGATAAGGTCTAAAAAGATCTTTTAAAAACCCATAGTCTTTCAGTAGAAGTAGACCTTGATGAGTTTCCTAGAGAGTAATTAAATAAAGATTATAAACCTATCCCTTTAAGAAGAAAAGTGTTTATGCTCATGAATTTTGTGACAGTGAAATAACCAGAGAAGTTGTTAACAAGTAAGGGAATTGAGCTCTAACCCAAAGACAGGATATAAGGAATAATGAACTGGGCAGAAAAGACAAGAAAGATTGCATGTGAAAATTAGAGAAAAATACAGATCTGAAAATTATTTTGCAACCTTATAAAGGTTTGATATAACTTCTACTGAAGTTAATGGACTTGAGGTAATGTAGCTGCTTGTTTAGATGCTAGTGCTATTCTGAATTAGTGATAAATTATTGCTTGACTATTTCCTTTTCCAGACAGAGAGGCTTCAGAATTATCATTATTCAACTTTGTTGTTTCCAGAAGAGTGAAATAATTTCCACACTGCTTTTCTTCCTTTTGAGTCTAGCTATAATTTCTAGTTAAAGAAGACTCGCTCTAAGAGTAAGTGCAGCATTTGGAAAGTGGAGTTGAGGTTCTGCAGTGCTCTCTACCTAGTAATGTAGGTAGCAGAAACATGAAAAGAAGACAGAAGAACGGAGTTTGCCCAAGCAAGAAAACCTTCTAATACAATGGTTGGTATAAAGAGAAATGAGCCCTCATCTCACACTAAACAATGAAGAGGCAGGCTATTCTGCTGCCTGGGGTTTTTGTAAAAGGAAGATTGCTAGGATGGAAAGGATAGACAGAAATCTAAGGGATTCTCCAGTGAGAGGCTGACAGCCTCTACATTACCCTGAGAGTATTTCAAACATCCTTCCAGCACCAACAAGACAAAAACGGCACGCACGAGAGAATGTGCAGTTGTCAAAATTACACAAGACTGTTCCAGCCTGATCACAGTGTATTCTGAATCTTTTACACTGTGCATTGCTCTACAACTTTGTTACTTCTCTCTCGTCTCTTTTTCTCACCTTCTATCTAATCATGAGACCAACTACTCATATTGCAGGAACATAAAAGGACAGCTCCAGATGAGCTTGAGACCAGGACTAGTGAGGGCACAGGGCCGGACCAGAACAGCCAGATGACATCCAAGCTTAGTCCCAAACTACTGCTGTCACAGCCTTTGCAGGCTAAGGTCTATGCATCAGTGAGGTATAAGCATCTATCTGTGCATGATCATCTCTTCATCCTATGTCCTGATCAGCTCATCACAAAGTTTCTCTCTTATTGATTATTTTTGATACCTGTCTAAGTCAAAATCAGAAAAACTATCAACCACTGGCAACTCAGTCTTCAACAACAGAAGCCTGGTGGTTTTAATTTTCCATCAAGATCTTCCATCCAATAAAACCAGACTATTTATTATCCCCTTGTGAAAAACGATTACATTTCTGTAACATGGCTTTGTATAAACACAGAACTTCATTAAACTTATTAATTTTCTTTTCTTAAAATTATTTTTCTCATATGGTTTCTTTATAAATTATTTATTTCAGAATAATTCAACTCTCTAGTAATCTGCTCAGAAATGTAACAAACAGATCTCTCTTCACTCAGAACCCTATTCATATATAGTGCACACAGTGACTTTATATATGTCTTATTCGACTGGTTATCCCACTAAAGTGAATGTAACAGCTCTAAGTTCCAAGGAAGAAAAACTTGGGTTCTTGTCGCTACAAAGTTCCTACCTTTATTTTGAGAATTTCAGGATCCCAGACAATTTTAAAGGAAATTTCATGCAGTTTTAAGGCATTGAGTACCATTTTGACTCATGGCTGGAAATGAAAATATTTTCCATGGCCAGCTACTAACAAAGTGCACACACTGATATCTCAATCCAGAGTATGGTATATTACAAAAATACCCCACCCACAAAGAAACAAACCACAAATAATGCAAAAGGAGTTATAAGAAAATAACTGCCTTTGAGTGATACCATTTTCGCTATTCAAAATAGAAAGTTGACTTAAATTAGGACCACTCAGTAAAATTTCAGTAACAAAACTTTGACAGATAAAAGTATGTTTTGTCAGCTTAGTATCTTTTCAGCTCCTAAGCTAATTCCAAGCAGAACCCACAAATAAACTTCCAGTTAAGTTACATGTAATACTTTGTACTGATTCTATTTCTTCTGGAACTTTGCACATTTATTTCTAAGACAACACATACAAGAGTTTACCTGTATACCCCAAAGCTCTCCAGTATTTAGGTACAGGCAGAAAAACTGTCTCCTTCAATGCAACAATCCACGGATGTTTCAACTCAACAGCCTGGTCTGTTTGCTGAGAGGAGTTCTGCTTCTCTGAGAGTGTTTGCAAAAGAATGTCACTTGTGGTTTTCATTATCATGAACAGTAGAGAGAACTGTTCTCTTCAGGATATTAGGCAAGAAGTGGTGTAGGAAAAGGGAACTAAAGTGTGTTCAGACTGGTTGGCTGCTGCCATCAGCAGTATGCACCATGTGATGTTCAAAAATATTGCATTTTCCCCATATTGTGTAGCCCTGAGAAGCTCTATTGCTGCACACAAGCTCGAGTCTTTACAGAATAGCAGCTAAGGAAATGTGTGTGGCAATTACAGGCATAAAGGTTGGGCTGAATTCAAGTCCAGTGCCCTGATACCAGTGAGAATCCTGCATACACCCGCTCATCAGGTCTAAGCTGAAGTGTTCATTTGCTACCACCTATGCCAGTACGATTTCAAGGGATTCTGCTTGCCAGCTTTTTAAAACTTCT